ACTAAGGAGTGTGGACTTTATTGTGTTGAGTCCTGGCTTTGCTACATACTGGCTGTACAGTATAAAATGGGCACAATTACAGTAAATATATTGATCTGTCTCAAGAATCAAATGAGATCCTCTATGCTAGGGGTTGGCAAACTATTCCCATTAAGGGCCAAATAGTAAATATTTCTGGTTTTGCGGGCCATGTGGTCTCTGTCGTAACTAAACTCTGCCACTGTAGCATGAAAGCAGCCACAGACAACACAGTATGAATGGGTGTGGCTATGTTCCAATAAAACTTTATTTAAAAAAGCAGGCAGTGGGCCAGAGTGGTTTGGGAAGGCAAAGGCCTTTACCAATGTTATCTTTTAGGAATTCCTGTGTATCTTTACCCTAGTGGTGTAGTGGTTAAGAACTATGGCTGCTAACCAAAAGGTCAGCAGTTCAAATCCACCAGGCACTCCTTGGAAACTATGGGGCGGTTCTACTCTGTCCTATAGGGTCGCTATGAGTTGGAATCAACTCGACGGCAACAGGTTTTTGGTTGGTGTATATTTAGGGCTCTCTCACCAGACTATAAGAGAATATATCCTCCTCTTTTCAGATTAGTCAAACTAAAAGAACAAATACGGCACAGTAGAGCACACAATGAAGTCCATAAGAATTTTGAAAATTGTCCAAGTTAATACTAGAACAGGACTGTAAATGACTACCGGGCCAGGCAGGTCACATGCCCTGAGGGAAGCTGGCCAGGCAGGTGCAGTCATGAAGTGGAAAGTGCCTCTCCCTTCTAAAGGGGGCAATGGCTCAGCTCCAGCTATGAGGGAATTGCTGCCATGCAGAATTCTGACTCGGTGTTAACAGAATTTCTTGACATTTTTGAGAGAACAACATAGTCAGATATTTGTGCGAAATCTCCTAATTTTTCAATGTTGGCAACTAATTAAAAAATTTTTTAAATAAAATATGGGCCAAATAAACATGCATATGGGCTATACTCAGGGAGCCACTGGGTGGTACAAATAGTTGAAACTCTCAGCTACTAACGGAAAGGTTGGCAGTTCAAACCCACCCAGAGGCACCTCAGAAGAAAGACCTGGTGATTTGCTTTGAAAGGTCACAGCCATGAAAATACTGTGGAGTGCAGTTCTACTCTGAAACATATGGGGTCACCATGAGTCAGAACTGACTTGACAGCAACAGGTTTGGTTTTGGTTTGGGACTGTATTCAGTCCTGAGGCAACCAATTTGCAACATCTGATACAGAGAATTCATTTTCAAATCACCACATCTCTATTTTTTAAGGTTTTAAAAAATTTTAACTTATACATAAAAAATAAAATTAAAAACTGCCCTTACAGAAAACTTTTAAGAACAGTACAACACATACACCCTTCACCCTTACTTATCTTGGTATCTCTGCCTCCCAGCACACAGAAGGCAATGAAGTGTTGTTTCATCAATGAATGATCGCCATTTAAGGAAAAATAAGCAAAGCATAGCATGTCAAGGTCAAGTTAGCTAAAATGCCAGAGTGGGATGAATGGTAAAGAAATCGAAAGAAAGGAAACTAATCAGATCGAAGGACAGGAGCAAAGAAGAAAACTGAGTAGACACAGAGACTATCTAGAATACACATTTATTCTGCCTGCTGAATGCCTGTTTTATTTTGTTATTTTTTGCTTGGCTGATTTTAAGCAGTAAGAGAAACAAACAAATCACCAGGAGCCCAGGTAAAACTTACAAGCACAGAAGAGACCAGAAACGTTCAAGGTGTGCTTTCGGCAAAACTTGACTAATTCAACCATCACCCGTTTTGCAGTTTGGGATTATTTGGACAAGCTAGGCTAAATTTCATCTTGGCATTATTAATTCTTTGAGAAAGTCTGCTAAGCAAATGAACAGTATAAACAGGGGAAATGTTGAATATTTGCTCTGGGAGCGGGGAGCAAAGGCAAATGAACAGCTTTAAAATCCTTTCTAATGATACTGATGTGCTGAACTTTTGTCTAATTATTATGTTCCTAGAAAACTGAGTAGAAATATTTTTGTCTAAACCACCTTGTATTATAAAAGCACTAGGGGGAAATTTGACTTTAACACAAAGGTGAACGGTTTCATAGGCAGAAGACTCACACGTTGCCAGTTTACCTTTGCGTAAATTAAAAACGTCAAACGTTGGGATTTCTTTTCAACAAAGACTGAGCTAATTACAAAGATGACTATTTGCTAGAGAGTTCATACCAGAGTCCTCCCTCCTTCTTCTGTCTGCAGTGTGGAAGAAGTTGGTTCATTTGAAGATAACGATAGCATTAGCTACCTCACAGGAGAGTTGTTACTGTTGTTTTTTTTTATATGTCAGACTTGGTATTAAGTGCTTTTATGTGTTGTCTCACTGAATCCACAAAACAAGGCAGGCTTCATCATTATCTCCATTTTACTGACAGGAAAACTGAGGCTTAGAGTCCAAAGTACAGAGCTGAGATTCAAATCCAGGGCTACATGACCACCCAAAAACTGATGAGAATTATACCACGCTGCACTGCAGAGTCAGATACGACCTGTCCAAAGTAAAAACCAGAGTGTGTGTATGTGTGTGTGTGTTGGGGGGTGGGGGGTTGTGAAAAGCTATGTGATTTCGACATGCAGAATAAACCAAACCACAATCCATCTTGGGGATATCTGCTAGACATTTGAGCTTCTGCGAGTTTAGAAGTAAACATCTTTCTAATAAGGCCAGGCTTGGTTTACCTAGTGGGCTAGAATCACAATGCATCAAGGTATGCTTCACTTCATCAAACGGATGTGTGTGTGCCTATAAAATTGTGCATAAATCAAAGTTTTAAAAACTGGAACAGAAAATGGGATTCTCTGAATGTTAAATCTAGTCTTAGAGTAAATACATTCTTCGAGAGAATAAAGTATTCCTTTTTGCAACCAATCTGGAAACAGCCAGATATCTCCACTGGGCAATAATGTTCCTAGGAGTGATGATGTGGTAACAGAAGTGACCAGTCAGACTTCCTGAAAATGGTCTATAGCAAAGTTTCTCCAAGTGTGTTGCACAGATCCTGGGAGGGGGGTCTTCAAAACCATATCAGAGTACCTGCTAGAACAAAACTATTTACATAACAATCCTAAGACGTTATTTGTCTTTTTCACTGTGTGAACATTTGCCCTGATGACAACAGCTGGGATGCAGAAGCAGGTATGAGAATCTAGCTGTCTTCTAGTAAAATGAACATTGAAGACATCTGCAAAAATGTAAAACAATAACTCTTCCATGTTATTTTCCTGTTTTGGAAAATATAAGTATTTTTCATTAAAAATGTTCAGATGTAATGTATTTATTATTGTTATTTTTAAATGAATTGGTAAGTGAAAGTTGCAAGATTTTCTTAGTTTTAATTTCTAATATGGTTAATATCGTAGATATAACCCACGTGAACGAAGATCTTTTGACATAAGCAGATAAAGAAGTGCTAAGTCAACAAAGGTTTGAGGACTTTTGTTGTTTCATAGCAAGATTACATTGACCTTTCCAAAGGGCAAACTGGTAAATGGCATTTTATAGTGCCTCTGAAGTACAAAGGGTGAAGATGTCTTTTAAGCATAGGACACATTTTTCAGTTAGGAAAAAATGTTTTTCTACACTGCAATAAGTGGATATCACAGAGGAACAAATTCTCCAGGAGGGAGAGACAGTGCTATAGCGTAAAAAAAAAAGTGATCTGGATTCTAGCACAGACCCTGGCAGTCTCTCTAGGCCTTAGTCTTCCAATCTGCAAAATGAGATACTGGGATAGCCTATCTTTAGATTAGGGAGCCCTGGTAGCTCAGTGGTTAAGCACTTGACTGTTAACCGAAAGGTCAGTGGTTCAAACCCACCAGGAGGAAGATGTGGCAGTCTGCTCCTGTAAAGACTACAGCCTTGGAAACCCTATAGGGCAGTTCTACTCTGCCCTGTAGGGTCGCTATGAGTCAGAATCAACTTGACAGCAATGGGTTTTTTATCTTTAGATTGCTTCTAATTGTCAATTCCAAGATTGTAAATCAGGGATTCCTAACTAGTGAGTGGTCCACAGGGGGCATCTGGTCTTCAGATTGATTTGGCCGTTACGGTATTTTAAGTACCCCATGAAGACAACTGGTTGGAGTTGAGTGAGCAGCTTCCCTTTTAGACAGGGAACTGATTTTCAGTTAGTTATAGTCCCAACCCAGCCAGTTAGACTTGCCCTTGCATACATGTGCATTTACAACCCTGGAATCAATGATCCAAAAGATCCTTTTCAAATCTCAAATTCTATAATTCAGCTCCAGACCCAGAGTGTTTGGGTTCCATACTCAGTCTGTCACTTGCTGGCTGTGTGACTTTGGGCAAGTTACTTAACCTCTCTGGGCCTCAATTTCCTCATCTGTAAGATGGGCATAATAACAGCGGCCTCAAAGGGATGTTATGAAGCTTAGAAAAGTGTTGCCTGACAGTGCTTACAGAGTTCCTGGCACTGAATAGTGCTCTGTTAATGTGGGTTATTATTATTTACACCAAAGAAGAGAAATGGAGTATTCCCTAGTCCTCTCCACCCCCATATCAACTCCCTTTCCAGCAAATGACAACTGCATTTCCCATGATGACGCTTACCCCCATACCAACTCCCAGATCCCACAATTCCACATCCCAGGCCCCTTGTAACCATTGATGTTCCAGACACAAAAGATCCTCCTCAAACCTCTATTCTCCTTTTCTAACCTAAACCCCCTCACTGAGGCCCCGGCCGGTACCATGTTCCTACACTACCACAGCTTGGCACAGTGGCCATACCACTGACCCCTCTCCCCAGCCTCTTCTCCCAATCCCGGACCACAAAGCCTCGTTTCCTTTAGATCGTGGACCACCACGGTCAGGAAGTGGTGGTCCACGGTTCTGTGACCTAGGATTCTGCCCAGGGGGGGTGCCTCAGGAGGCATGGGACAAAAACCACCCAAACTCCCGGGGGGGGCCCACGGACACTCACCGTCCATCCCTATAGGCGGCGGTTCCGGGTACTCGAACCGGAAGCGGGCCATACACTGTTTGCAGTTCCCCTGGTTACTGCGCGGCTCCGGACCAATGGTGGTGGAACTTAACCAACTGAGCCCGCCCCCAAAAGGAGTGTCGTCAGGCGGGCGCTCTGGAGCTACTCCTCAGATGTTCCGCCCGACCCGCCTACCCAGGGCCGCAGATCGTTGTGCGCAGGCTCGCTGGGCCGGGGCCCTTGGCAGCGCGGTGCGCAGGCGCACAGAGCGCTGCCGATAGAAGTAGCAATGGACGCGCTGGAGTCGTTGTTGGACGAGGTGGCGCTGGAGGGGCTCGATGGCCTTTGTCTGCCCGCACTCTGGAGCCGTCTGGAGACGCGAGTGCCTCCCTTCCCGCTGCCTTTGGAGCCCTACACGCGGGAGTTTCTGTGGCGGGCCCTTACCACGCACCCGGGCATCAGCTTCTATGAGGAGCCAAGGGAGCGACCCGACCTCCAGCTCCAGGACCGGTCAGCTGCCTGACCCTGCGGGGGGGACGGGCCCAGAGCCCGGGGTTTAATGGAGCTTGTTCTGACGGGAGGAGAACGGGGAAAAGGAGCCCAGGGAAGACTGGAGTCTGATAGAGGGCGCGATGTTGATGCTGATTTAGGGTCCGTCGGGCCTGGCAGGGCCCAGGCGCCTGATGGAGTTGGGGATCATCTGGTGATGTCCCATTATGCCTCTGGGTATTAGGGGGTGGTAATGGGCAGGACTGGGGACGAGAAGTTATTCTGCCGGCGTCAAGTGTTTCCTGTAAGATAGAGTATCGGATTAGAGTGCGAGGGCAGTTCCGATCAGGACTGGAGACAGTTGAGGTCAGCAAACCTTTATGGAGCATCCATTCAGTGCCATTTTCGTGAATCTAGAACAGCTAAGAGATCTGTGTAACAGCAGCATTAGCAGTAATAATAATAGTTGACATTCATTGAGGGCTTACTACTGGCTAGGTACGGTTCAGGAAACCCTAGAGGCGTAGTGGTTTAAGAGCTACAGCTGTTAACCAAAAGGTTGGCAGTTCGAATCCACCAGGCCCTCTTTGGAAACCCTATGGGGCAGTTCTACTCTGTCCTGTAGGGTCGCGATGAGTCGAAATCGACTCACGGCAATGGGTTACGGTTTTGGGGGTTAGGTACTGTTCGTGGAGACCTGGTGGCGCAGTGGTTAAGCGTTCAGCTGCTAACCAAAAGGTCGGCAGTTCGCATCCACTTGGCGCTCCTTGGAAACCCTATGAGGCAGTTTCTACTCTGTCCTGTAGGGTCTCTGTGAGACAGAATCACTAGAGGGCAATGGGTTTAGGCACTGTTCTAACTTCCTGTTCTAGGACCTTCAGGCAGATAAATTCATTCGATCCTCACAGTGATCCTAATGAGGTGGGTGCCATTGTGTTCTCCATTTTATGTATGAGGAAACTGAGTCACAGAGAAAAGTTAAGTAACCTTTCTAAGGTTGGGGAGGTAATAAGTGACTGAATGTTGATTTGAACCCAGGCCGCCTGTCTCCAGACCCTGTGCTCTTAAGCCAGATTGTGAGGAGGCCCCCATAGGTAATAAGGCCCAAGATGATACTTAAAGGTTGGATTTAGCTAGCCAATTGGTGAAGAGTATTCTAGGTAGAGATGAGCAAATGTGAAAGCCTGAAGGAAGAGAAATATGTTTGGCTGAAGTGTGGAATTGGAGGTGGGGAGTAAGGAATAATAGTTGACACTTAAATGTACTTATAATGAGTTGGGCACTCTTCTAAGATCCTACATATAGCAAGTTATTTACTTTTTACAACAACCTTAGGATGTGGGTATTATTATTATCCCCATTTTCCTAAAGAGAAAATTAAGGCACAGAGGGGTTAAGTGACTTGCTTAAGGTCATCAACTAGCAGGAGCAGAACTAAGATTTGAATCCTGGTAGTCTGGGTTGCTATGAGTCAGAATTAACTTGAAGACAACTGGTTTGTTTGTTTTTTCAGTCTGGGTCCAGAATCCATTCTGCTCTTAATTGGCTCAGTCCAAATTAAGCTGGAGAGGTCTTTTATTCCAATTAAGAGGTTTATCCTTTATCAAAAGGACAACTGGAAGCTACTGAAGGGAGTGGCCTGATGAAGAAATATTGGGAAGAGAGGTCAGACTAGGGGCAAAGAGTGAAATTAGATTTGTATTAATACAGTCATGGACAGAGGGGTGGTCTGGTTTACCATAGAGGGTGTAGGGAGTAAAGCTGATGGAATAAGACCAATTAGGTAGAAGAATCAAGAGGATTTGGTGACTAATTGGATGTTGGGTATAAGGAGTGATAGGAATCAAAGATGCCGCCCCAGTTGCTGATATTTGGGCACCTGAGTGAATGCTGATGCCCCATACCGAGGCAGGGAACAAAAGAGAAGAGCAGCATGGTGGCTGACTCTGGTGGGAGGTGAGGAAGGTGCTAGATTTACTTTGGGACACATTGAGTTTGAGATTGCTCTGAGGCATCCAAGGAGAGACTCTGCCCTCCTTTCACTCCCATGAAGCCAGATGTTTACTAGATTCTATTTAGCAAATATATGGCTTCATGGGAGTAAAAGCAGGACAGAGGGAGGGACGGAGCTAGACATCTATGAGTCATCCCTTAAAACCAAAACCCATTGCCCTCAAGTAAGTTCCTAGTCATAGTGATCCAGAGTAGAACTGCCACATAGGGTTTTCAAAGCTGTAATTTTTACCGAAGCAGACTGCCACATCTTTCTCCTGCAGAGCCTCTGGTGGGTTCGAACCACTGACCTTCAGTTAGCAGCTGAATGCTTAACCACTATGCCACCAGGCTCCTTGAGTCATTCCATATAGTTGGTAATTAAAGCTGTTGGATAAGATCATACCGGGAGCGTATAGTGTAATTTGAGGCGTTAAGACATAGCCCTGAGGAGCACCAACATTTAAAGGCTGGATGGAGGTCAAGGAACCTTCAAAATAAAACTAGGAAGGTGTGGCTGGAGAGGCAGAAGGACATTCAGGCCAGGGTGGTGATGTGAAAGCTGGGGTAAGATGGGATTTGAGAATGGAGGGTTAAACAAGCAGCTGTCACACAGAAGACAAGGAAAAAGGGGGTTGAAAAGCATGGATTTAACCTCATCTAGATTAGTGCAGGATGTGAGCAGATTTCAGAGGAAAATTTGACAAATTTGGCTGACTGAATAAAAGAAGAAACGCAAGTGAACGTTGACTCCAAGGTGTTAATGCGAGGCAACTGGGAGAACGTGGTGCTAGGAGGGAAAGAGGGACTTTGTTGGCGGTGGGGAGAAGTAGTCATGGCTTTGGTTTTCTCCTCATTGAATTTGAGGTGTTTGGTAAACAATTGAAGACATAGGATTGGTGTTTGGGGAAAAAGATGGATGGAGGATTCACATGTGAGAATTGTTAATATGCGGATGATAACTGAAATCATAAAAATGGATGCGTGCACTAGAGAGGTAGGTAAAGAGAGATGCAAAGGTGACTTCTTAAAGGAGTAAAGCCTTGAATATAAGACCAAACTTGGTAGTTCAGAGACTGGGCACCAGATTTGGAGGGTGTCTTAGTTATCTAGTGCTGCTATAAAAGAAATACCACAAATGGGTGGCTTTAACCGACAAATTTATTTTCTCGCAGTTTTGAAGGCTAGAAGTCTGAATTCAGGGCACCGACTCTAGAGGAAGGCTCTCTATCTCTGTCTGCTCTGGGGGAGGTCCTTGTCTCTTTTCAGCTTCTGTTTCTTGGTTCCTTGGAGATCTCATGTGGCGTGGCATCTGTCTTCCCCTATCTGTGCTCACTAGGCTGCTTGCTCAATCTGCTCTTTTATATCTCAAAAAAGTTGATTTAAGACACACCAGACACTAATACTACCTCATTAACATAGCAAAGAACCCATTCCCAAATGGGATTATAACCATAGGTATAGGGGTTAGGATTTACAACACATATTTTTGGGGGACACAATTTAATCCATAACATTCCACCCTTTGGCCCCCAAAATTCATGTCCTTCCCACATGTAAAATACATTCACACCATCCCAAAAGTCTTAAATCAACTCTAAACCCAAAATCTCATCTTCTGAATCATCTAAATCAAATATGAGTGAGAAGTTATCCATATTCCATCCTGGGGCAAAATTCCTCTTCATCTGTGAACTGTGAAATCTAGAGTACAAATTATCTGCTTCCAAAGTACAGTAGTGGAACAGGCACAAGGTAGACATTTCCATTACGAATGGGAGAAATTGGAGGGAAAGAAGGGTTCACAGGCACTAAGCAAGTCCAAAACCCAACAGAACAAATTACGTTAGTGTCAAGTCTTGAAAATAATCCTGCGTTCTCTGAGACCATCTGTGCTATGGCCCTGTACTCCAGACTTTAGGTGTTGGCTATGCTGTCCAGATTCTGGGTGTAGGCCCCTTGGCACTAGGCAGAAGCCCCACCTTCCAAGCCCACTGGTATGGAAATCTGGTCGCCTTGGCTTTGGGTGGCTTAGTTCTCCTAGTCCATCAGAGTGGCAACCCCATCCCCTCAGCCCTGGTAGGCTCCATTCTCTGGCCCCTGGGCATGGCAGCCTTGCCCCCTCAGCTTTGGGCAATGGCCCCATCCTCTCGGCCCACACTCTGAACTGAGTTGGTGGAGATCTCAGTCTTTGAAACCTAGGAGTCCATGGCTCTACCTTTTGAAATCTAGGAGGTTGTGGTTCCACCCTTTGAGACCTAGGAAGCCATGGCTCCACCCCATGTAACCGAGTCAGCCCTGTTTCTAGTGTTTTTTCCAACAGTTCTCCTGATCTCAGAGCTGCTCCAGGAATGGTCCTTTTCTTTCCTTGGAGGACAACAGATTTAGCTCTTTTGTCCTGTTTCCTGCTGGTAGAATTCCAAGAGGTAGACAACTTTCCTTCCTTTCGTCCTGTCTCTGTCCCCTTCAGTCTAAGCTGATAAGTTTTCTGCTGTGGTAATTGGTTAGATTCATCAGTCACAGGCTTAATCTCTTTAACAAAAGATTGTGTAGCCACATACTTGATGAAAATTCTAGAACACACGTCCTGAGTTTGTACAACACAGT